CTAATTAATAAACCTTAGCCCTAATTAGACTAAGGTCTATTAATTAACATTATTATCTTCTTAGATAAGGGTTAGTAAGTTACCTTTGTGTTTATAGGCGCTTAGGGTGCACTAGTAATAAGACCTTTAGGTAAAGTTATTTAGGTTAATTATATATATACTAGCTATCCTACTACCTTATATATTAATATTCTACTTAGTTTTAATATATTATATAAAACTAAGTAAAACTATTTACTATATTAATAGTAATTATATATCCTTTAATACCCTAGATTTTATATAGGCTTATTTATCCCTTGTTTTCTCTTTATACTAGAACTTTACTTTACATAAAAAATAATAGTATAGCCTAAAGATTTAGTCTATTCCTAGTGTTAATTATATAGTTAATTTCTACCTTTATATAAATACCTTAGAGTATTTTTATAGCCTTCTAAATTACTTTAGCCTTTTAGGTAATATTATATAATAAAGGTAAATCCTTGTTAATCCTTAGATATATCCTAAAGATAAAAAGGGTTAGTATAATCCCTTAGGGGCTAGTAGTGTTATTTAAGGCCTTTATAGCTATCTAGAAAATAACCTCTTTATCTATATTATAGCTAAGTTCTTTATAAAGAATATTATATATATATTATAAAGGTGTATATACTCTTTTAACTTTACTAACTACCTAATAAGCTTCTACTAGTATTTCTTTATATAAGATGCCTATAATCTTAGTATTATTCCTAAACTCTTCTAATATAAAATTTATACCTAGGTTATATATAATATAGTCTAGTAGACCTATATATATAGCTATCTAGTACTTTAGGAGAGTATTCTATATATCTTATATAAATAGTAATTTAAGAAAAATAGTACCTTAGAAACTTATTTCTATATTAATAATATATAGTATATTCTTGTCTTTAAGTTATATAATATCTATAACTATCTTATAGTTAAAATAACTTTTATCCTTAATAAAGAACTTAAAATATTATAGTACTAGGTTATATAATTAGTAATAGTAATAAAACTTCTAGATCTTTTTTAGTATTAATACTTCTATATCTCTATAGCTAATATTCTTTAGGAGCTAATAAAGTTAATCTATATAAGAATATTTAAATTACTTATAAAGTCTTTAAAGCTACTCTTTAGTAAAAAAGGTTAAAGCCTCTATATAACTAAGGTTAAAAAAAGGTGTCTTTATTTTTATATAATAGGTATATATATATTATCCTTATATATAATAGTATTAGTAATATTATTAAAGTATATACCTAGTTAATCTATATTATATAATAAAAATAGGAATAGTGTTAAGGTATTAAAGATATAATACTTAACTATCCTTAGCTAGTTCTTTATCTTTATAGTTCTTATTAATATTACAAAGTTATTTACTTTAAATTATATATAGCTAGAACCTAGGTTCTAAGAGATCTTTATATATAGGTTCTCTCTTAAGTACACTAGTACCTAAGGCTTTTTTACTATTAAAAACTTAGTTACTCTAGTATCCTATAGTTCTCCTTAGTATAACGTATAATAAAGGTCTTTAAGTAAAAACTAGCTTATTTTAGTAGTCTTTAGGGCTAAGAATATATTTTTACTAGTTATATAATAAAAGAAATATAAAGTTAGTAAATACTAGGAGACTTCCTAGTTATCTAAGTATTATTCTTTATTATATAAGTTATTATTCTCCTTTTTTCTCTTAACTAGGCTTTCTCTCTCTACTTTAAAGAGATAGGCTATAAAGTCTTTATATAAATCTTAGGCAAGTATATTATATACTTAAAGGTATTAAGTCTTTATATAACTATATTTTTCCTTTATATAGTTAGTTAACTAATATTCTTTCTTCTTATATATAAAATACTTCTTAGTTATATTTATATAAAAAGGTCTTAGTTAAAATAGCTTTTCTCCTCTTCCTTTATTAAAAGGTTAATAAAGTAGTTAATTATATAAAGGTCTTTATTATAGTCTATCTTTATAGTTTAAGGTATACCTTTAGTCTATAAAGCTAATATTATATAATATAGTCTTTTATCTAAGGTAACTTATAAAAAGCCTTAAGGTTAAAGAAGAATTCTTTATATAAATAATATACCTTAAGATTACTAAGAGTAGTCTTTAGCTCTAGAACACCTTAATAAGCCTAGGAAACTTATATATAAAGTATTATTTTTCCTTAGAAGCCTAAGCTAAGTGCTTATTATATAAGAGGTAGCTTATCTAGTAATACTTCTAGTACTTCTATAGGTGCCTTGTCTAGATTCTCTTGTTTAACTTATATAAAGGATATAGTATTCTAATTAGTCTAATAAAGACTATAATTAACGCTAGTGTTAAAGTATATATTTAGTATAGTGTATATTCTATTTTACCTTTATATAAAGCTAATATAATAAAGGTAAAACTTCTCTATATAATTAGATAAAATATTTAGAAAAACAGTGTAATATTAATCTTTTATAATCTAAAGATATTAATAAAAACTAATAAACACTTTAGCCTTATTATAAAGTATATTATATAGTTTTTTAGTATAGCTTTTCTTTTTTCTTTATCTTTTCTAGAAGACAAAGATTATATAAAGTTAATATAGTCTATTATTAACTATTTACTTTAGTAAAAGATTATAAATATTTTTCTCTAGTGTTAATATAACTTAGCTTTAAGATCTTAGGAAACTTTTTACCTCCTAGGTAAAGTGTACTCTATATAATATTATTTATATATTAGGTCCTCTAGACCTTTAAGCTACTTAAGAATTTTATTATTTAATTAACTACTTTAGTAACTCCTTAGTTACTCTTAATAAGTTAAGTTATATATTCTTTATAGGTGTTTAGAGAGTAGTTATTATTATATAAGTAAAAGTTAATACTTTAGTAGAGTTCTTATTTTTACCTTTATATCTTTTAATAAGGTTTAAGATTTAAATATTAACTAATTATTTACTTTCTTTTACTAAATCTAGTCCTTATTTAGTAAGCACTTATATAAGCTTATCCCTAAAGATTTAGTTAACTTAAGACTATTAGTACAAAGACTAGTCCTTAAAGTCTTTATATAAGTTATATATAAGTACTCTTATTAGTAAGTTAATAAAGAGAATATATATTATTAAGTATTCTATATATATAGTTAACTCTTTAATATAAGGATCTCCTTAGTAATATTTAAAGTATATAACTAGTACTTAGGGTCTATTAATCTCTTTTAAAGGTTAAGTAGAATAGAACTCTATATAGCTATCTCTTTATATATAATCTAGTCCTCTTTATACTAAGGTTAATTATCTTCTAATTATTAACTAGCTTCTCTAGTGTCTTCTTACTTTTATAGAGATACTATCTTAGTAGTAGTAGCTATATTATCTTATATAGTGTCTAGTTAATATTAAATATACTATAGTGTATACTACTTTCTTAGAGTATTATATAATAGGATTTTCTACCTAGTTTACCTTTAGGTAGTAGATATAAAGAGACTTTTTTATATATAGACTAATAAGTAGTCTTTCTTCCTCTTATTATCTAGTATTACTTTTATAGAGTAAACAATAGTAAAAATCTAGGCTTTTAGTACAAAGTAATCCCTTTTAGGTTTATAACTTTACCTTTTTACTCTTACTAATCTATAATTACTATATAACTACTAATTAGTGTTAAATAGACTTTATATATATATATACTTAGTAAAACATAAGGGTAAATTAACTTTTTATTAGGTAACTAAATAAGTCTACTCTACTATTATTATATAAGTAGTTATATACTACCTAAGTATAACTTAAGTTATTCTAGCTAACTAAAAGTGTAATCCCCTCTTGAGATAACTAAGGGCCAAATATCTAGTCTATACCCTTTGACCTTAAATCATGAACTATTTATAGTTAACTAACTAGGTGTTATATAATTATTAGTATTAATATTCTAACACTAATGTTATATACCTAAGACATCTTTTTTTTAACTACTATATATCTTGTTTATCTATTCTAATAAGCTAGAAAGGAAAAAGTTCTATACAGTATATGTATTTCTACTAGCTAGATCTAGAGAAAATAGTAGTTTCTAAATATAATGTTAACTTTACTTAGTAGGACCTTTAACTACTAAAGTAGCTAGGAATAATGTATTTAAAAGTTTAGGGTAATTAAAAGTAGATAATTTAGTTTCGTTAAGAGATTACACATATAAATAGGTCGTTTCAGTGTATCTTTTCTAGAACTTCTAGCTTAAAAATAAACACTATTTATATCTAATAATACTATCTTTCCCCTAATAGCTGTTGATTAATAAGAAACCATACGGTTCAAAGGCCTAAGCGTTACTTCAAGTGGAGAATCTATTAGTAATGTCACGAATTCCCTCGTTTGTATGTCCGATTTGTTGATGGTAATGGGTTGGAAATGATATACCACATTCGCAATAGCTACTCGCTGCATAGCTAAAGTCAGGCTACGCCAGCTTAGTTAGCTTGTCTGACTCTTTCTAGAGGGTAATATCACAATATACTATTATATTAAACTCACTTTTGTCCTATGCACTGCCTGGTGCCTCTCGAAAACGGTTGTAGATAGGCCTCCATCTTAGGTGTATGTCTTGGCGGTAGCCACCGTGTGGGGTCATAAAGTTCGGGATCCTCAAAGACCGTCTCATTATAACATCCGTAAAATGGAGAAGTAGCAACAACTGCCTGTGCAAACAATTCTTGTTAGCGGTGTAGTCTCTTGGCCAACCTACCTCACATGGGGGAAGTAGCTTGAGGGTTGGATGAAGATACCCCAGGAGGAAAGTGTGTCCCTTTGTAGTTCCAACCTTGTGAAGGAACTACGCGAGGCATATGACCACGGATAGGGCAGGAAACTCGCAACCCTTCTTTGAGAACAGCATTGAGAAGAGGTAACATAGCAAGTGATCCGATTCGAGGCATCTCAGATGTACTCATGACTGGGTGTAATTCATCTTGCAGCTGTTGCCAAAGATCTGGACTTCTTACTAACCAATGCATACCGATAGATAATGCGGCTGCTGTCGTATCGGCTCCTGTAACGGGAACCCATTTGTCAACGAAGAAGGGTAAGAGGTTTCGGTATAAAGGCAGTAGCTTGAACAAATCGATAACCTTCTTGGTACACTTACCGGCTGCAAGAATCACAATCCCGTCGGAGATAATTTGCTCGTCAGATAGGGTATAGCCTCGTTTCTCCTGCCATTGAGAGGAGACAAGCTCCGAGAAGACACACGGGACAACCTCACGAAGACCATTGAAGGCCGCCCTATTTGCCTCCAGTGCCTTTTTGGCATACTGGAGCGCAACTCTAACGTCAGTCTCGATTGGAGGAAAAATCCGAAAAGCCTACGTTACCTGCCCGAGAATCTTGTTTGGTACAAGCGATGGTACCAGCGGTGCAATATAGGGAATTAATGCTCGTAAAAATGGGATGTGTTGAAACTATGCGTTTGATGATCCAGGAGATGTTAGCCCCTAAATCAAGATGCAAGATATCAAGGAACCAGTGAGAGTAGGGGAACACATACGTATATCACGCTTTCGGCCGCCACGTCAAACACATCAAATAAATCCGAATGGAAATTGGAAAGGCTCTCGGCACAGTGCCCAAATGTCCAAGTCGTGACGATATCCAAAGCGAAGCTGCGAAACAGCCTAGTGAGACTCATAGTGGTGGCTTGGTAAGGTGTACTATCATGCTTTGGTTCCGATCCCAGGGTCTTGCGCATGCCTTCTACCATGATATTACATTTATCCCAAACAAGTCGCTGCGCATCCATCGCATTGACTCTTGATTGGGCGAAGGCAGGTGCCAAGAGACGGGAATGCGCAGTGTGCGTCGGTGGATCCAGCTCGGTGAAAACGCTATATGCCACAGAACTTTGGAAAGCTTTGTAATGGTACGCCGGCTTAACCCATGGCTTATTCTGGGCGTATATTGTGTTGTTGGCATCGACATCGTCGATTGATACTTCGTTTGGCGAAATACGAACAAGCGGGCCTATACAAATGCGTTTGAATGAGTTATAAACCAAGTCTAGAACTGCGAAACCTAAAGGGGAGGGAAATCTTGATTTTACCAAATTTCTGATGTAGTTCCCGAATGTGACTGTGGGGAGTCCCCTGATAGTCATGGTAGAACAGCCATAGTCGAGAGATCTTGGCCAGAAATGGGCCTGGCACACGCCGGAGGGGGTGAAGAAAGACGTTATAGACGGAGCGAAATATCACGTATGCAAATAGAAAAAGTAGAACAACTGCTAAAGTTTTGGTGAGAACTAGCTGAATATTTTGGATGTAGCTCATTCCGGCGGTGCTGGTGTTTCTGGGTTGACACACAAATCATAAGAGAGATTCCCTAGTAATCAAACAGTGATCATGCCGTTGATATAATTTGGCAATGAATGATATCGGGGGAGATTGATAGATTGCGGGCTATTGTTCAGTTCAGAACGTAAAGCTAAAGGCAAGACAAGAACCGACGTGAACAGAAAAATGTCCCGCAAGCTTTCCAGAAAAAGTAAGAAAAATTACTAATATTGCGGGTCATTCTCTTGCAAATGTATCGGTGTAATCCTTGTCATGTTATGGCTTGAGGAGATGACAAGTGACACTTGGGGGAAAACCTAGACAAACTCCAGCGCATGTCTTCCAACCCCTATAAAGATTGGCATTTCGTTCTGGCTTCAGAATTGTTCTGTTCCAGTCGTGTATACATTAACGAATGATCTAGACAAGGAAACTACGGAGTCAAGTCTGTTTTCTGCTCAAAATGGACATGGAACAGTCAAGACATCAGGTCAGCTGCCAACCACAAGAGAAGATTGCCATTGTCGGCATTGGATGTCGATTTCCAGGCAAGGTCTCGGGCCCTTCCGCTCTTTGGGAATTGCTCAGTCATCCGGTTGATCTCTCTGCGCCCGTCCCTTCATGGAGGTTCCGCAAGGAGGGATTTTACCATGAGAACGCCTCGCACCGCGGAACAACCAACAGTAGGGGCTCGTATTTTCTCGAAGATGACGACGTCAAAGCGTTCGATGCCCAGTTCTTCAACATTTCTCCTCAGGAGGCCGAAGCAATGGACCCTCAGGTAAGAGAACGGAAGGTATGATGTAGCGTACGCTGTCTAAGCGACTGACTCTATATAGCATCGGTTGCTATTGGAAGTGGTTTACGAGGGTCTCGAAGACGCAGGAATCTCGCTTGTAGAGACTTCCGGCACCAGCACCGCGGCATATGTTGGTCTGATGTCGGCAGATTGGCAAGACCTGCAGTCGCGAGACATTGACGATGCTCCGAGATACCTCGTGACTGGAGGCGCACGCAGCATCGCAAGTAATCGGCTGTCGTACTTCTTTAACTGGCACGGGCCGAGCGAGACTATTGACACGGCCTGTTCCTCGTCGCTCGTGGCAGTTCACCATGCGGTACAGGCGCTACAGTCTGGTGAGGCTCGCATGGCAGTCGCAGCTGGGACAAACCTCCTGCTAGCACCAGAAATGTATGTCATGACAAGCAATTTAAATAGTAAGCCCGCCTGCAAGCTAAGTCGTTCATTTGTTACCATGTTCTGGCAACATGCTGATTAGCGAATCTTTTTGATTAGTGCTGTCACACAAGGGTAAGTGCCACATGTGGTCCTCTGACGCAGATGGCTATACTCGCGGCGAGGGTGTCGCCTGCGTAGTGCTAAAAACTCTATCAAGCGCCGTTGCCGACGGTGATGATGTCTATGGTGTTATTCGTGGGATCGGAATCAACCAGGACGGCCGGACGACAGGAATAACGATGCCTAGCTCCGCAGCACAGAGCACTTTGATACGAAACACTTACGCGAAGGCCGGCTTAGACATAACGCGCAAGGAGGACCAATGCCAGTTTTTTGAGGCTCATGGTACCGGAACGCCAGCAGGGGATCCATTGGAGGCAGAGAGCATCTGGAATGCTTTTTTCTCGGATTCAAAAGAGGCGTCAGATGTCTCTAGTTCTTCCTCGGACGGCTTTTATGTCGGTTCTATAAAAACAGTCATAGGCCATCTCGAAGGCTGCGCTGGGCTTGCTGGTCTTATCAAGGCCGCTCTTAGCATTCAACGCGGATTCATATTGCCTAACCTGCATCTGGGCACCCCTAACTCCAGAATAGCACCTTTTCTAGGCCCAGGGAAGATATCTGTGGCAACTGATTTAATACGTTGGCCTAAGAGAGAATCAGGCGGCGAAGGAACTACGCAGATACCGCGGCGCGCTTCTGTCAACTCGTTTGGGTTCGGAGGAACCAACTGTCACGCCATCTTGGAGTCATTCGATGACAGCAAACTCCCACAGCGGCAAAATACAGCCGTTCAGCATCACGTTCGCAAAGAATCCGGCACGTGTGCAACTGTCATCATCGTACTTTCTGCTGCCGCTGAGTCATCACTCGCCGTCTTGACGTCTCGATACGCGGACTATAAGTCAAAGCACCCACTTATGGCCCCCCACCCATATAGCCCACCTCAAGAACAATGCTATCACAACACCACCACTTTATTTAATTAACTATTAACAACCTCGTGATGCTACAATAATACAGCTTTTAGCCTCACTAGGTAATTCTAATACACTAGATTTATTTATATTACTTTTAACTTTGCCTACCCTTATCTAGGCTTATTATACCTCTTTAATTATTATAAACTTTATATTAGTATCTATATAAATAGCCTTCTGTTTCCTAGGTTTACTATTAGTAACCTAGGCTTCTAGAAGGCCTATTTTTTACTAAGCAGTAGCTAGTATATAGGACTATTCTTAGAAGCCTTTTTTAACCTTTCTAAAGAGCTAGCGTTATATAGTAATATTTTATTCTAGCTAGTCTAGTTAGCTAAAGAGCTATAGTTAGTCCTTAAGGTCCTTTATTTTTCTTAGTGTAGACTACTTTATACTAGATACCTATATATTTATATCCTAGGCATCCTAGCCTTTATAAGTATCTCTAGTAGTTACTTTAAGTAGTATTAATAGTGTTATTATTAATAATATTACTTTTTAAACTAGTAGCCTATTTATTAGTAGCTTTATAATACTAATAGGCTATAACCTAGTATATTTTTAGCTACTCTTAATATTACCTATAGTTAGATTAGCCTAGTAAGCCTTCTAATAATAGCTAATAAAGTTCTTTTTACTAATAATAGTTAAATTAATTTATTAACTAAGATACTTAAGCTCTTTATAATAGGCTACCTTTATAAGACTAAAGACTAACTAGTTAAGTAGCTAAAGAATATAAAAGGTATATAGTAGTAAAAATAAAAGATAAATATTATTAATATAGTATAACTATATAAAATCTATTATTATATAGCTTTTATACTTATCTAAGATAAGTAGTTTAGCTTAATTAAGTTAAAAAGGCTTAGTCTAAAAGAGAAAGACTTTTTATAGCTATTTAATAATAGTATTATTAGTAGTCTATTTATTCTTTATTATTATAAACTTTTATTTATTATATAAAGTAAGATTTAGAAAGAACTACTACTACTAGATTATTTTACTTTTATATATAACTAAAGGATAAATAAGAATACTTTTAGTAAATATATACTTAATAATAAATACCTAGGCTTATAATCTAGGCTACTTTTTCTTTACTACTTTTATTTTAGCTTTACTTAGTACTAACCTATTATTACTTTTGCCTTTAAAGATACTAGTCTTATTTATATTATATTTATTAACTAGTTTAATAGTCTAGATATAAGGTATAGTAAAATATTTAAACTAGTCTTTAATAACCTTAGTAAATACCTTATTAATATACCTTAAATTAATAAATTAACTTCTCTAGACCTTAATAGATAAGTTCCTTTAAATAAAGCTATTTATTTACCTTTTGCCTAGAGGTTAAGTATCCCCTATAGTATAGAGGATATAATAGGTAAAGTCCTTTAGTTATTAATAGGTTAGTAGTAGCCTAAGGTTAGCTTAGCTAGTTACCTAAGTAGCTAGCCTAGCCTCCTAGGTAGTTAATAGTTACTAGAGATCCTTAAAGGTAATTAACCTTTATTAATAACTATTTATATAATACTAAAGTGTTAATTACAGTATACCTTATTGCCTAGAGGTAACCTAAGAAGATATACTGTTTTTAATATTAGCAAGAGCCCCTTAGATCTTATCTTTAGTATATTAGGTTATAGTATATTAAAGAGTATATCCTAAAAAAATAAAGTAATTTGATAAAGAATAGAAAATGTTGTAATAGTTTAAAGTTAGAGGTTATCTAGAAAGTCAGTGGCTAGGCGGCATTTTTGGGGTAGGCTATATGGGTGGGGGGGCCATAAGTGGGTGCTTTGACTTATTGAGAAACACCCAGATGTGGACCTCAAGCGTCTGGCTTTGACAACCCAGAGACGTCGGAGTCGACTCGCTCATGGCGTGTCCTTTGTTGGAAGCACAAGGGCAGGACTGGTCCGAAAGATGAGAACAGCTGTGAAGGCCTTCCAGGATGGCGGGAGAATCGGCGTCATGTCAGGCCAAAACAAGCCTTCCGACAAACCTGTTGAGGTCCTAGGCGTCTTCACCGGTCAAGGAGCCCAATGGGTCGGCATGGGGGCCAAGTTACTGGATTCATGCCCGATCTTTGCCCGCACCATGATCGCCCTCGACGGCGCTCTCGCCAAAATAATGGCGGAAGAAGAGACTTCTGGCTGCTTTCAGTCATGGTCGCTCCTCGGCGAGCTTAGAGCACCCGTAACCACGTCCCGCATTGCACTGGCTGAATTCGCAATGCCGCTCTCCACGGCCGTGCAGGTTGCCCTAACCGTCATTCCGGGCGGTATTCTGGCAGAATACCAGGGTTAGCGCACGGGCCGCAGGGCGAAAAACGGACGCGGCGGCCCGTGCATTCTCGCAGACTGATTCTCGCAGATTACCAGCGTAGAGGAACAAACGATAAATAAAAATAACGTACCCCAACGCGCAACGGCAACCACGCCCCGGACCCCAACCCCAGGGTTACGGCCACCACGACGTTACCCTAACGCCCGGTCGGCTTCTCTCCCAGTAGCCCCATTCTCCAGAACCCTTCCCCCTACTACGCATTCATCCAAGGAGGCAGCTCCTATATCTACAGAGTAGTGCTGCCGCCGCTGCCGCCGCTGCCGCCGTCATTGCTGACGTTGTTGTTATTGTCGTCGTTGTCGTTGTCGTTACCGCCGCCACGTAGGGGGTCCCTTTACTCGCCAGCAGACACCACCCTACAGCCGCCACAGCCGCCGTTACGCACGCATCCAAGGAGGCAGCTCCCATACCTACAGAGTCCTTCTGCTGCTGCTGCCGCCGCCGCTGCTGTTGCCGTTGTTGCTTACGTTGTTGTTATTGTCGTCGTCGTTGTCGTCGCTGTTACGTAGGGTGGTATCTTGCCAGCAGGCACCACTGTGCAGCTGCCACAGCTGCCACAGCCGCCACAGCCGCCAGCGCCGCCGTTGCTGCCGTTATTGTTGCCGTCGTCGTCGTCGTCGTCGTCCTTCTCGTCGTCGTCGCGGATTAAGCCTGAATAAACCGATGCTACCCAGTGTAGAAGGCTGGCTGCTAGTATGTGCCCCTACCAGAGTAAGCCGAGGAAGGGCGCTAAGGGGTATACCTACTGAGAGTTGGTTTACCAAGGCGATTAGCACAGAAGGAAGGATAGTTCCAACCCCCACGTCGTCCCCGCCCTCACAAGCGGTTTATATGTAAACAGGTGCCCTTAGCCGGTTGTTATCTAAAGGCTGCGGCGGTTACCTATAGCGCCGTTGCCGTTGCTGCTGTTGCTGCCGGCGTTGCCGTCGCGTATTCAGGCCGAATACGGCAGAGAAGGACTTACAAGGGAGCCCGGCCCCCAGCAACAAGCCCCCGGTGCCCTATAGAATCAGGAAGAATGCCTCCTCCCAGTCACTTTGGCGTTGTTCTTAGCCCCTGGCCTATTATCCAGGCTCTGACGACGAGCTGACGATTCGGGAGCAGGGTGGCCAAGCGATCGACCGCCTGCGTAGTGGAGACAGGCAGCCCTTGCCTCTTTTTTCAGCCGGCTTGTGTGCCTCGCGTTTACTACGTCGTTACGTAAGGTCGGGTGATCCCTAGGTGAAAGAGCGAAGCAGTAGGAAAGGACGAGAGGTACGTCGCTTAGAGAGCCGGCAAGCGATTAAAAGCCCTGCCGTTCTTGCCGTCGCCTGCCGTATATTCCGGCCCGACAGGCCAGACGAGGGGAGGAAGCAGTAAAGGCTATGGCTTTGGAGATTGTTGTTGTTGTTGTTGTATTTAACGCCGGGACGTTCCTGAGAAGGACAAAGGGCGCCTAGGGTAGCTGTTTTCTAGGTAAATACAATAATGACTTCCACAGAGACCTTCCAAGTTCCAGTATAGCCTATCGTTATATCCAGCCCGTCGTTAACCTTATCTAGGAGTTTCAACTTAATTGTACTGTCTCTGCTGTCAAGTGCCCAAGGGCTCTTTAGCTACTAGGTGCTATATAGTTTCCCCCTCTTGCCCTTAGTAAGGCAAAGGGGGGCTTCTATGTATTTAGTTGTATAGTGCTACTTATACATCTATATTAAATATCTATACCTTGTAGCTAGTTTTAGGTAAGCTATACTTAGTGTACAGTATAGAAAGTGCAAATAAAAGAGGAGGGGAAAACAAAAGAGAAGGTAAATATATTACCTAGAAGCATTAGACACTACTGTCTAGCCCTATAGGCTAGGGGGTAACCTTATAAGTAGTACAAAAGTAATTACTAAGCCCTTAATAGAGCCTAGCTTTTATTATAGTTAGTGTATTCTACCTTATAAGTTATAATAGCGTTAGGCTAAGCCTTATACTATACACTTTATATAGTATATTAGGATTCTTTTAGCTATAAGCTACACTAGCAGTAGGCGTAGGCCTATTATTATACACTAGGTTAGAGTTTCTAGGGGTTATCCCTTACTATAGTAAAAAAGTAAATAACATATAGGGTATATTTTATTATAGGCAAATAGTAGTAAAAAAGTTATTATAGTTTATAATCTAGATAAAGCTTTTAAACTTATAGCTAAGATAGGAATCTAAGTAGGTATCTCTATTAAACTAGGGTAAAAGGTTTTTATACTTTACTTTATAGTATTATAGGGGGTAAATAGGTGTCTTAAGCTCTTTATATAAGCACCTTAGGTTAGTGTTTTAGTAGTTAAATTATTAGTAATAGTAAGCAAAGTCTTTATAGCCTATCCTTATTACTAGTAACTAGTATAGTTCTATTTAGTTAAGGGATTCTATTTCTATTATTAGTTTAAGGTAAACGTCTAGCTTAAGTTATTAGTATCTATTAGGCTAGTTATACTCCTACTATTTAGAAAATTTATAGGCTTATGCCCTCTGTACCCCTTATTTAACATGTATATAGGAGGGGGGTCTAGTGTAAGTGTCTACTAGCTCTATTTCTACTCCCTCCTTAGTAAGCTTATCTACTAGGTTGTTGCCCTCTATGTTTATATGTCTAGGCACCTAGTGTACCCTAACTTTTCTACTATAAAAGGACATAGTGTTAATAAAGTCTAAGAAGGCCTCTTATAACAAGGTAACTAGGGCTCTGTTTAGCCTATAAATAACTATAGTGTTATCTAGGTAGACTATAATCCTACTAACTCTCTGCCTATAGGTGTAAGTAAAAGCTACTTATAGGCCTACATAGGCGCCCTTGGCTTCTATATTATATACCTTAGCCTAAGGGAGACACCTTCTCCCTTAGTGTATAAGGGCCTTACTATAGTAAACTATATACTTATATCCTGTTTTATTTAGTCTTCCTTATAAACTATTAGTATAGACTATTATATAATCTACTAGAAGTTATTTTTACTAAGTAAAATAGTCCTTAGTAGCCTATATCTTATCTATTATATTATACACCTAGTAGTCTAATAGTCTATTGTATATTTAGAATTATAGTTATAGCTATAAAAAGGTTATAGTTATATAATAGCACTAGTAAAAAGAAGTAATAATTAAAATATAGGTCCTATATTATTTAGAAGCTAATTCTTAACCTAGCTATTACTAGCCTTTTGCTAAGGGGTTAACACCTTTTTAATATTATATTTATCTAGCCCTACTAAGTAAAACGCTTACTAAACTATATTAGGAATAATATTCCTTTAACCTACTAGGTCTACCTAGGACTTTAGGGTAATTACTTATTATCCTATAATAATTATACCTCTCTCTTGTATAACTGTCCTAGTTGTACTACACTAGCCTTAATCTAGTATATCCTTAAAAAGGTTTAGTTAGCCTATTAGCTATCTATAGGGCCCTTTATACTTCTCCTTAAAGCTATCTCTTTAAGCTTTACTTCTTTATTATTTATTTACTTTTATAAACTTTATTTTCTTTTTTTTATTATAGCCTTTTATTAAGTTTTTATACTATTATTACTACTTTTCTTTTTTTTACTAGTGTTTTATTAGATTATTAATTTATTTTTCTTTTTTTTTTAGATTTTTAATACTTAATTTTTAATAAATAATAACTAATATAATAGTAAGACTTAGCTAATTCCTTAGATTATAAAAAAGGAATTTATAGTACACTAGTGCTAATTCTTTAATAACTTATCTTAATTAAGCTATTTATAATTAGGCTATATATTAGGAGTAATTAGCTAGACTTTACTATACTTAAGCTAATATTACTATAACTTACTTCTTTTTATTAGTAATTAACTAGCTATTTTAATATATTTATATTTTAATAGGCCTACTAAACTACTTATAAAGTAAACCCTCTTATTAAAAATAGTAAATATAAAAATACTAGTAATAAATATAACTCTTTATTCTTTAATAGTTTTAGATTAATTTATTACTTATTAAAATATAATAATAATATAAATAGTAACTAAAGTAAAAGTAACTTCTGTTATCTTTTTTCTCTTAGTCTTAACTAGTGTTCTCTTAGCCTTTTACTATCTATTATACCCTAGGACTATAACTTTACTTTACTAAGTTCCTAGGGCTTTAATAATAAGTTTTATAACACTAAGGATAAAATTAGTATAAATAATCCTAATAATAAGGTTACTTAACTCCCTAATCCTCTTAGTAATAACTTACTAAATAAGATCTAAATCTTTAATTCTTTTCTAGAGAGACTAGTTTTATTATATTAGCCTTATATATATTATATTTATACTATTATTAAAAAGTAAAAGGCTAAGTGTACTTTTATTAATACTTTCTTAATCCTAGACTATTAATTTACTTTTAATAGTAGTACTAGATATATATAATATACTACTTATACTAATAGCTATATACTAGTACTTAGGTTTCTTTCTTTATTTAGTAGGCTTTTACTAATATTTATTTATTTAGTGTACTACTATAATCCTAGGTAATTACTAGGATACTATAAATATTTTTATAGCACTAGGTACTTTAATTTAGGCTAATAAGTTTATAGCTATTTATAAGCCTATCTTTACTATTTTAGTAACTTTCTTAAATAACTTAGCTACTTTAGATATTTAGTACTAAAAGGCTTAGTACTAGCTAGTGTTAAAGAATTTTTCTTATATTTTTTTTTTCTATATCTTACTAGGCTTTTACTAACTTATTACTATAAGATAACTTTTTTAAGGTTAAGAATACCTTTATTACTTACTATAAACTAGTGTCTAAACACTATAATTAGATCTACTATAGGCGCTTTAATTTACTTTTACTTTATATAGTAAGTGTTACTTTTTTACTTATAAAACCTTATAAATATTTACTAATTATTAATAAAGACTACTAAAATAACCTTTGTCTTCTTTTAGGTAATTAAGGCTATATTATATAGTAACTATATAAGTATAAAGTATATAATAATATAGTTTATATTATCTATAATAAAGGTAAAGAACTTATTATTTACTGTTCTTTTACTAGGACCTTAGCTATAATTTACTCTTAAATTAAGGATTTTAATTATAGTTTATAGTAGTACTAGATATACCT